TGCTGGCAACGTGCATAAAAAGGCGAGTTTGGCTCTGGAGCGGGGAGGGGGAGAAGGGGAGGATGCGAAAGGATGCGAACTGGTGTCGAGGTGCTTAGTGGATGAGGTTATGGCAGTGCAAGAGCGGGCAGGCCGGCGGGTTTGGGCGCAGCTAAGGCAGCAGGAGCCAACAGAGGCAGTATGTAGGAGCAGGGTTACCACCACAGATTCTCAGATACACCCCTCTTGCCTGTCCTGCTTGCGTTTGACTGGGGATGCAAACCCCTGTGCGTGGGCCTGACGTATGTTTTTCTACCGATCAGCGTTCGAGTGTGCCTATCATACAAGCAATTAGATCAACTGAGCTGTCTCCCTCTCTTCGTTTTCTTCCTCTTTAATTTTTTTTTAATTCATTTCCTTCTTCACCACACTCACTCTTCCTCCCTCTTCCTCCCTCTTCTCCTTTATCACAGATAGCAATCGCCTATCCCGGGGCCAATGGATAAACCGCTGCTGTCGATAGCAGAGTTGTCGCTACGATAGGCTTGCGGAGTATTGGGGCGGTCGAGATACGAGTAGACGAAACGAAGGTGCTATCCGCCCTACAAGTAAGTGGAACGAGGAGGCGACCTTTTTAAGGGAAAAAAAAAACTCGATGAATGTTCAAAAGTGGCGTTTCCGGGGAATACTTCTATCGGAGTGGGATGCCGTGAAACGGATAAGGTGAGGAAACTAGACTCTGATTGATCTAGTCTTTTTTGTGGGATGGTGGATGGTGGCTTATGGGCTCCTTCTCTTCTCTTCTCCTTTTGAGAGAGAGGAATGGATGGGATAGAGATCCGGGGAAAGCAATTGAGCCCATTTAAGAATTAAGGGGAGCTCTTCCTGCTGAGGGGAGGATGAAAGGCTCTGGAGAGCCTTAATCTAAAAAAAACTCGAGCACAGAATGCCGGCAATGCCGTATCACCCTCTTTCTCCACAGTCTAGTCTAATAGACTACTCGAGTAAGTGCCAGTTGCGAGCGAGGCCCACTGATCCAAGACCCGTGAAAACAAACGTCCATCACGGGTTTAGTTCAGACTACAGCTTACGCAAAGGGAGGCGCCTCGAATCCACAAATGTAGAAGAGCGAATAAACCAACAGATGAAACACATCTCCGTCAATCCGGTAATCCAACCACAACAGTAGGTTTCTTCATATCAAAAAAAAAAAAAAAAAAAAAAAAAAAAAAAGCTGCTAGGGCGACGCCTCACGGATAGAACTGAACGGGGAAAGGGTAGGAAAGAAGGAGGGAAAATTAGATGGGGTAAAAAATAAAAATAAAAATAAATAAAAAAAGACCCTGTTGCATCCTAACTTGCCTCTTTTCCGTAGTAAAAAAGCGATCAAGAAGCAATCAAACCAATAGACCTGATCAGTGAACCTACCACTAGGATAACAATCAACATCCACCGGTGCAAAAGTGCAAGTAATATGCGAAACTACGTATGCCAATGCATTTCACGCGCAAAGTTCGCAGGTTCAGCGGCGGGGTCAGGGGATTTGTCCAACCACTTGCACAACTGAATTCCCCGGCCAGTGAAAAAGGAATCCCCATCTGACAGGTGATGGTAATTCGGCTACCGTACTTCATAGCAATCTCATTTATCCCAAGAAGTTCCCCCGCCGACCACCAACCACCTCCCGTGCCCATGGTTTGCCCAATTAGAGGAGGGTAAGCTCAGGAGAAATGATGGGGGTGGAAAACCTGCTTTCAAATGCAGCTTATGTCGAGGTGGCCAAAACCCCAGAGTACTCGTACGTATCATACTCGGGTATGATATAAAATTGGCGAGAAAGGTCCCCCCCAACGCATCCCCGAGACCCTCAAGAAATCAAGGTTTGGCACCCAGGATTCCTTTTTTAGAGTTAGGGTTGGCAGCCACCGGATGCCGCCCCGTTCTCAAGCGAAAAATATGCAGGGGAAGGGTAGAAACAACACTCCCTTGCTGTGATGCAACTTTGCCCATTGAAAGAAGATACCGGTATGTACCGGTATGTACGAACGATACCTTACTATTGAGCCCTTTGGTTGTGCGGGAAGGAGGAATGGATGAAGGTTGTAATTTTTAGAAATTTGATGCGGCGGTAGACGCCGCTGGAGGTGTCACCAAGCTTTCCTTATCATCACCACATTAGACCTCAAGAAACCAACTCCAGCACAATAACCTTCTACGCCTAAGAGCCCGGGAGTCCACTCCCAAGCCTTCAAGTTCGTCTCAACGCGTCATTTCCACTACAGGCATGGTACACTCAGGTATAAAGTTCGGAACTTTGACGGCTCCGACAATAGCCCCTCCTTCTTTCTCTCTCTGTCCTTGATTTATTCCCATCCTGGGTGCAACGAACTGTGCGCCCCATGTCATTCATCTCTTGGCCACCCAATTGGACATCCACCAATGGGTTTGTCCCATTGTTTCCACCACCAAGATATTCTTGCATCGATATCATGCTCGTTGCCCTTCACGCCCTTGAAACAATTTTGCCTAAGTTACTGCAAATCAATTTGCCTCTTCACCGCCGGTATATATTCTGTCCCGCTACACCTTACTGCCGTAGCCCCTCGTGATGGATCCAACAAATGCCTATCGCAGCTAACTTAGCACTCGCCCCAACAATTATGTAGTACAGAACGAGCCCTACTGCATTACCCACAGGGATGCTCCCAGAACGCAATTCACAACTCACACAACTCACCACTGCCACACAGCCCCACACGCTCTTGTTTTGCTTGGGAGGGAGTGAATTTCATCACTATGGATCCTTTCCGAAGCCTTAGGTTTGGCATGTCTATCCTAGCCTCGAAATTCTAGAACAACTCATCGATCAACAACTTTCTTCCCAATTGAGGATGCAGATCAGAAAAGTTCCCTATAGTAATGGCTTTTCTTCTCTCTGGATCACGGGCCGGGGGTTTCGAACCCCTCCTTTTTTTTCTAACAGCAAGCCAAGGCTGTTACTGGTGCAGTACATTCATCAGTAATGAAATTAACGTATGATATAATGAATGATAGTGTAACTTACGGAAATGCAGAGTACCATCAATAGGAATCGAGGCTGTTAGCCTTAATTGGAACGTTAGTTGAAGCCCCGGGGAGTGTAATCAGTCCCACTTAGGTCTATCCTTGAGGAGGAGTTCCGTTCCTGGTTGCTGCCTCAAAGATGTGATTCTAGGTTTTATCACCAGCCGGAAAGCAGCGAGATGAGAGGCGTCGAGTGACACCAGAGCTGCGCGTAATACAGTAGTGTGAACCAGCATATGGGGGGGGGGGTCATGGAATGCGTGGTACAGCTGAATTGGGCTTACCGTATTGTACAGTACATGTTGATCTTATACTATATTTTAACTTTCATGTGTATCATATCCAATGGTGAGCTCTTTGCTTGCACTCAAACATGTGGGTCGGGGGGTGAAATCGTAGGGCGCGGGCTCGCAGACTGATTGAGGGGGATAGTATCATATGGACACGGGCGATAGTGACTCCGGGGTTGATCCGCTTGATCATTGGTACTCAGGTTTTCGACAGGCTGCGTAGATAGCATGTCAATGGAAGTTTTTTTTTTCACCCGCCAACGGTTTACCCACTGAAAGTCTGTTTACTGGATACTCTGGCCAGCGTTCCCATTACAGGACGAGAGCTTCTGGAGAGCCTCATAGGGACCGAAGATGCTCTCCATCCGCCACCGGTGAATGGCCCATAACTTGAAAGGGATACCAGCGCCAGGGGTCCAAGACAGATTTTCCAATGTTCCACTACATGCTACAATCCAGCTCTGCCTTTATCTTATATATTGAGGGGGCACTGCAGCTACGAGGCCGCCTGCCACCTACACATCCCGCCGTTGCCCTTCCGGTTCTTGCCTTCCTATTACATGCTCTCTCTCTATGGCCCTGGATGAAACACCATAGTAACATAATGGCAAGATATAGCGTTTATGAGAGCTCCTGTGCTCTGCCAAGATAGCTATCAAGATGAAACTCCACTGGAGTCGGGCTGGTACGGGAGATCTCCACCAAGTGTTTCCACTTGCGGTGAGAGTAATGTCCCACAGAGAGTGATTACAAATGTCACTCTGTGCATGCATGTTCACGCTGAATCGTGATAATTCAAGTTTATTTGAAAAACTGGATTCATCATACTCAATAACAAACCACTCACCAAACAGATTTATAATATCTCCGCGGCTACTCGCGAGAATCAGACATGTGATAACCTCGAGCACGGCCGTGGGCTTCAACCTTCATATCCCTACTCTTCGAAGAATACTGACGCATTGGTACTGGTACCGGTATGTTTCTACTCCTTCCTTCTTTTGACTCCTTTGATGGAGGAAACTATTTTAGCATCCTTAAAGTTGTCAAGCTGACTGCCGATATGTTTGCTGACCGCATTCTGCTACGGCAATGCAAACGGAGGCGAATACAGTAGTCTATGCTAGATACCGATGGCTGTGGTGAGGGCACCACAAGCATTGAATTTGAATCTGAATCTCAATCCCCTATCCACCAATAAAATATTGGTGGGTAGTCTACGTAGGGCCTGCTCATTCGGACCGGTTGCTATACTTGGAAACAAGTTCCAAGATTCACAAGATTCACTTTAGCGGATTGAAATACCGGTATTTTCTAGATGGCCACATTCCTTGGCTTTTCTGCAGGACCTTGTTCCACAAACGTGAAACGTCTTTGCTGTGGAATAACAGGCTTTGACACCGAGATACCTTCTCAACTTCAGACTGGTAACATTTCCATCCAGGGTATGCACTCGGCATGTCCGAAATGTTCTATCCTATCCCTTTTTTTGTCTAATATCATATCGGTATGATACTCAAGTACGAGTACTCGAGTACTTGTATTCCCCTCATCCTGAATTTGTGCTGAGGGGTCATCAGGCACGAGCCCGTTTAAAGTAGACTACCGCTAAGTCTCAGTCGCTTATCGACCGTCAGGTTTTGATAGTGATAAGATATGCCCCTCACACGTGACCCTCGTCTCGTTGGGCATTTCATGAATTTCCCAGAACATGAAAAGCTGCTTTTTCGAAGGAGAAAGTTTTTTTAGACGCTAGATTATCGCGCGCCGAGAATGCCATTCCAATCCACCCTAATACTCGAGTACTTGTACTCGTACAGCTTCACACGTGGCACATTTGCCACTCGGCTCTCTGCGAATTTGCCTTCTTATTAGTCTACTGTGGCTTGATAGAATTCTCCACACCCTTTACAGTACGAGCACTCGAGTGCTTTTGACTCGTGGATGGGGGGACTTCTGACTCAATGAACAACCTACAGGCACTTCATTACCGGCGAATTCCGCCGTGGGGAATGGATGGACTTGGATAATTTAACGATTCGCGAGCTATCACATGTAATGTGTGATGCAACCGTAATCTCCAGAGTCGAAGCTCATCCTCTCCACCAACCTGCACGACCATAGTTGCGCTTGCTATGGTACCGGTACCATACTCTACTTGCCTCAACAAGACGAACACTATGCCACTTCCAGCTTACGCGTCAAGCTATCAAATCCACTGCAGCACCTGCACCTATTCTGTTGATCGCCAAAAATCAGACTCTCGCCACTTGAGTTGCTGCGGAAGAATAGTCTGTGGCGACTGCATAGCTGTTTTTTCTCCTCCCCAATCCTAGCTCTTCCTTCCCCCTCAACTCGAAACGTAGTGCCTGACTACCACTATCATATCCTTAGAAAAACCCTCGATTTGGAATCTACTGCCCGTTCTGCCAATCACCTTTCCCCAAACGAAGTGGGGATGGGGGAGGTGAAGCAGAGAGGGAAACTCCATTCCGACCGCTGCCTCCTCCATACGCTCCCTCAGCCCCAAGCCCCCCTCCACCATCATACTCCACAAACGGTGGGGTAATCCACTACGTCCGCGCGGCGGATACACTCCCGACCATAGCTCTCCAGTATAACCTCCCCCTTCCACTATTACGCTCACATAACCGCATATTCTCCGACCACCTCCTACAGGGCCGACGGAGCGTGGATATTCCATCGCCGCCGTACGTTGGACCCTCACTGTCTCCAGCGCCGGAAGACGTAGAAGGGGAAGGTCGCAAAGCCGCCACCAAGAGGTTTCAGTTGAAGACCAAGTGTCTCGATGCGGACGTTGCGGACGTATACCTCCAGGAAGCCGGGTGGGATGAAGAACTCGCCGTGAAGGATTGGGAGATGGACGATAAGTGGGTTAGGGATAACCCCATGCTTGAGAGGAGCGTTGGAAAGGGTAAGGGCAAGGAGGTTGTGGCGGGAAAGAAGGATTGTGGCAGTAAATGGGGGTTGAGAGGGTTTGGGTACTGATCGGCAGGGTGGGGTAGGGCTATGGTAGAATCATAATGCGGTAACATCACTCTATCATTGATGAGCCGGACCTGAAGCCTCTCTTCAAGCTATGAGAGCTCTGAGTTGAGTCTAGGGTTTTTGGTGCGATGGGTTTCATGATCACGGGCCATGTTTATTTATTTATTTATGATAATAATTATCTAATTATTTATTTATTTATTTTTCACCTCTATCATATTTTATTAAAACCCTACCCGTCATTCGTACTCTCATTAGAGAGGTATCATAGAATAGAGTAGACGTTAGAGGTTACCCCTCCATTTTGGTTATCATATTATCATAATAAAACTCGATACAATGACCTTCCACCAACAATCATTAGATTGAACACCACCGACCCATTCACTTCTTCCTTTTCCTGCAAATGAAACAACCCAAGTCGGACATCATGCCTCCACTCATAAGGCACACCCCGTTATCTCGCTCGCCCACAAATCTGGTTAGCGAATCCCAACGATCCTAGTGTCGAACGGATCGTGACGAGTATTGGCGGGCTATCGTGCGGCGGGCTGATCGGTGGTTTATGGGGTGTTGGTGGCGGGGCTGCGGGTTGGTGCAGGGTTTGTTCGTGGGGTGTGGGCTAGTGTATCGGGGGGATGGTGCGGTATCATACGGTACGAGTACTTTTACATACAATACTGTGCTGCACCTTACCCGGGCAATCTAAGAGCGGTCTATAGTGGTTAGGCTAGTCTAGTCTAGGGTAGTCTAGTGAAGGCATTCCGCGAATCATTCGGGGGAGATGCGGTATTGTAATGCCGGCATCCCCCCCCTTTCTCATCATACGGTAGCCCGACGCGTCCAACACTAGCCCCCGAGCATTCCCGTCCGAATAGCGCAATAGAGAAATGCACAATCCGAATGGCACTCCAACTACCGGTACTCGAGTGACTCTCTAACTAACCACCGCCGTCCCCTTCACCCTCCCCTTCTCCCCCGCCTCCATCCTAGCGCTCCTACTCCCAAACTGAACAGCCCTCTTCTTCTCCCTCGCCACCTCCTGCATCCCTAGCCTCCCCGCCAAAAGCCTAAGTACCCTCTTTCCCTCCACAACCTCCTCCTCACTACCGCCACACTTCCTGATAACCCCAGTGCTCAGGCACCACGCTACTACATCCTCGTCCAGAAACGGATACCGTGCTTCGCGTCCCCAGTGCGCCAGTACGCGGTCATCACGGCCCAGGTTGCGCTTTCCAAGCCTGCCAACGTCAAGCTGGAGTTCTTCTAGCAGGCCTGCGTAAGAGCGGGAGCGGAAGGCGGTCCCGTGACGGGCGTACCCACCTAGGAGCTCGTCGGCGCCAAGGCCGGAGAGGAGGATGCGGGCTGGGGTGGAGTACGGCTGGTTGCCTGGGAAGGAGTAGCCCGTGCCTCGGGAGGCGAAGTAGAAGGCCACGCCAATTGAGAGGTCCATTTCTGTGTTGTGCGGGTGGATGAGGTTTATTACGGATTGGCGGTGGGAGAGGAGGTCCGTGTAAGGGACGTTGATTTGTATGAAGTTCCAGAGACGGCCGGGGCAAACTTTTTGCAGCTCGTCATAGGTGGCTAGGCCGGTTATTCGGTCGGGGCAGATGGAATACGGATCTACGGCGCCTTCCCGTTGAGGATCTTCGGGTGGGGCCGCCGCTTCTGGATGCTGGGTCCGGCGTTTAGGTTTGTTAGCCTTGTTCGCTTTGTTTCGTGCTTCGACAAAGCGCCTGTTTTCGAATGCTACATTTAAGAGATCAACGGCTTCATCTAGTGGTAGACATTCGTGCACGAGCCGGGCTATTACTGAGCAGTCAAGACCACCAGAGAAAAGTACCGCTAGTCGAACTTTTCTTCCGGGGCCCGGGGGCTCGGGGATGTCGCCGACTCTTATTCGGACGCTCCCCAGTAGAACCTCCTTGAGCTTTCCAACCTCTGGAGAATCAGTATTTAAGCGTCCGTCTGGTTCGATATTCCGGTTGAGCTTAGGGAAAGGCAATTCCTAGACTTCCCCATCAGTCCCAGCACTCCTGTAAGCTAAAGGAGTATAAACCATTGAAACTTGACCCCCATCCCTATCCTCTCGGTGCAAAAATGGCACAACCCCCTCCTCTCCACTTTGCAAACTGAAATACCGCAACCCATAAGCCTCCACCTCTTTCCACCCCTCATGTCCATCCCCAACACTAGCAATTGTAACCCCGTCTTTCCATCCCCCCTTCCGCAACTCAAGCAAGCTTCGCCGCCCCAGACAATCCCTCCCGTACCAAACCCTCCCCCTAACAGCATCGAAAAACACGCACGCCCAAGGTCCCGCGATCCCCGCAAAGCCCTTCTCCGGGGTCTCCGCCGAGAGCAGTAGCTTAAGCACTTCCTCCCCATCGTTAACTCCCGCAGGCACCAAAGCAGAATTTATCCGCCACGCCTCGCCGTTCCAGCATAATACCGAGCCGGTTACTGGATCGACAAGTGGCTGCGGGGTGAGCCTCCCACGGAGAGAAAGGACGGAGGAAGTAAAGGTTAGGGCGTAATTTTCGAAGGCGGTTACATGCGTGTTTGTGGTGTCCGGGCCTCGGCGGGAGATGAGGTCCGGGAGGGAGGTAGAAGTAGGGTGTAGAGGAGGTGAGGTTGTGGAGGTGATAGAGAAGAGAATCCCGCACATTGTTTTGGGCGGTAGTGGGGGTGGTGGGGGTGGTCCAGTGGATGCAATGTGGTTGTGGAGGTGGTTACCCGGATTTTGGATACCTCTGAGAACAAATTGGACTTCTCTGTGGATTTTAGAGGAGTCAGTTCTGTTTTGCTATTCAATGCAGATACTTCATTAGAGTTATCGAGGTATAGGATATGCGGCTTTGGACTAGGTCAAATTGCACGACTTGTTGGATCATAAATTCTCACTCGATATATCTAACGATAGAAAACTGCACGCCCTGTTACGGGTAGCGCCATGGTTCGTATGATATGCATATAAGTTACCTTTTAAGCGACCTAATACCCCTGGATCCGTGACCCGGGTAGGGCTCGGCCCCTACCAAACCAACAAGCAGGCTACAGACGATCATATCGTGAATCTCCTTCTTCCAGCCCATGTAGTTAAAGGGGAAAGCATCCCAGACCAACCTTTTTACTACTATAACCTTCACAGAGTCAGGCCCAGTCTCCCACCCCGAACCCATTCCGATTTTCCCCAACTAAATTCGCCCGACCCCTCCTCAAACATCCCCCTGCCAAGAGCTAACGCCTCCGACCCAACATGCTGACCACCCATTACCGGCATCATACGGTACTCCTCTAGCTAAGGGGGGGGGGGGAGTTGGCGCCTAGGCTCCGTGTATCACGAACACGTCGGATATTCCGTTGCGCGGCGGGTGCTTGTGGATCACCGTTCCGAGGGTCCTAAGGAAGATCTGTGTCGCCTTATCTATCGTACCTGTACAGCTCATCTACCGAGGCTAAGTTAGCTCAGGTGGGGAAAAGTGCTGCGCGGTATTGTCTTTGGTTAAGTTGTAAGTCCCGATGGGGATATTACTTGTACTATATGGTCAACGCGACACCCCCGAGGCGCCAAGAGTGACTCTTCTCGTGTTGGCGCTTGTTGGGTCGTAATGGTGGTCTCATCTACCGGTACCACATGAGTGATAGCTTGTGGATAGGTCATGCCCCTGCGCCCCCCCTACGCCCAAAGCGCACAACCACTTGACCAGCTGGATATCGCACAATGTCGTGGAAATTGTGGTATATTATGATACAAGGTATCATACGGTTGTTCCTGCTTAGAATGAGGGACACTATCACGAGATGTAGAAATATATGTATATGTATAAAAAGACCAGTTTTCATCTGCGTCGGTAAAGAGTTCAAGTTTTCGCTCTGTCCATCCTTAGCGTTATGCACGCTATGCATGTGTAGCGCTGCGCGGATAATTTATAATTTGGATGTAATAACATTATCACTTTGGTATCGCATACAGATTTTCCGCTTTCTGCTATGATACCCCATGTCCGAGTGCCAGTATTGTCAAGAGGAAAATATCTTATCAGCGTCTCCTGTATCTTATAAAGCTTCATTCTGGTCTATTTCATCCTGACAATGTCTAATGGTACTTTCCTTGTCACCTGCTGTCGGGTTTAACCAAGAGACATTTAGAAACAGGTTTTCTCCATGTTCTCTTAACATGTTTAACTAGCAATATATTGCAGCAGGACTTCGGGACTTTCTCATATCATACTATTATTTTTCAACTATATTACAGGAGATGCTTTTGCCTTCTATCGCCATGTTTGGGCAACTGAGCAGGTGCTGTGAGGTGACCTGAAGTGAAAAATATAACAGCACCTGTGGTTGGTCTGGTTGTGCAAGATAGTTTTGTCTGGGAATACTCGGCATTAAGCCAGCGCCGGTACAAACGAGGGCCGGGTCCATCTCAATTGGGAAGTCAAGATACCCATAGACCCCTCACTATACGGTGAGTTCGGTGCCTACCCGAGAGCCAAGATGGGCCATTACTCCAGGGAGCGATGGTGGCGCGAATCGAACGGCGCGAGCGCCAATCCTCACCCGCTTCTACTCTTGGCTGTTAACTGACCATCGCTCGCGTGATTCCCGGCAGGTGCGATTCTCCCGAGATGGTGACGCAAGCTCGCGCTGTAGAGCAACTTCAGGAGTGTCGCAATGCTATCAGCAAGTAAGGTTTGAACGCAGCCTCAGTTTATCGTAGACTGAACGAGTCGAGATTAGCCTCTGCACACCAGCTCTTAGCGTGACTCTTGCGGGATGCCCAGCACTCTCCCCGGGGGGCACCAACGCCTGTCTACAGCATTCCTTTAAGAATTGGGAATATGGGGAGAACTTCCTCCGCAGCTCCGACTTGGCTTTCCAGTGGTTCTCGTTGCGTCGTCGATCCAAACCTCGGCAATGATTTATGACGCGGAAACGTAACGAGTGAAGCTGGCGGTGAAAAGTGCATTTTCCAAGGTTGGAAACAAGTCACCGGGAGAGTGACAGCCTATGAAACAATACTTTGAACTTATGATAGTACAAGTCAGCCTAACCCAGACGGTTCATGTCCGTAGCCGTCTATTCTGGCATGCGCGTTGCTTGTAGCCCGCATAATACCATCACTGCCGCACTCAAGCATTGGCGCTCTAGGAAATCCATATTGTGAGTAGAGAGACCCCTCGATGCGGGATGGTGCAACGATATTTTGGCCGAATAGACCCCAAAAGATGGACCGAGTATTAGGCGGTGAAGGCTCCGAAGTGTCCGCTCCCTCGCAACTGTGGAACTCCATCCAGAGCACGGTCCGCAACATATCGTACCCTATCCAACCCGGGGTTCCAGTGCGCCCGAGTCACTCGATAATCGGAGAGACCTGTGGTATCCCTATTCCTCGGTTCCCGTGAGAAACAATGGTAGGTGCAGAGAGACGCCCAAACTCACATGCAGATGCTTGAGTCCCCTTTTTATATGAGTGACCTCTACAAGTACGGTACTCGAGTAGGGTACACTGGTATATAATCTGCGGCACCCGAGATGCCGTGCCTAGATACTCGTACTGTACAAGTATGATCTACAGTACCCGCTCTTGGCACCCCTTGCGATGATCAGCTAGGCAGCGGGCAATCCACTTCAAGTCAGGGCGCTCGAAAAAGGGATCGCCAAGCGGGAACATTTTGTCAAACAGGGTCGCGTGACGTTAACCCTTCCCTGCAACCCTTCCAGTAACTTAAAAAAAATTTACCGGCAGACTATCTTGGATTCTGACAGACTTTGAAGTGTTGGGGCTGGGTATGCTCAGGGTCTCACTCTCGCGCCGTATCATGAGTACCGGTACTGGACTCCTCAAGTGCAGCTAATTTACTCGTAGGTATCGTACCTGCACTTGCGGAGAGCGTTCCAGATTGCGAGCTGGGGGGGGGGGGATACTGTGTCTCACAACCCCGCAGCAAAATGGGCCGATCCTTATCTGGTGCCAACCAGGGGACGGCTTCTCTCCCCGTGGGAGGAGGGATGGGCTGCAGCAAAGAGATCCACCGTTCTCACCCGACTGGAGTCGAGTTCCCCGTCTTGGCACACAAAATATTAGTGACGCGGGTCTGACGCCATCCGCTAATGTCCCCTCACAATATTTATTGTAAGGAAAATAGTTCTACATTTTCACTTTCTTTGTGGTCGGTAATCCACCTCCCCCGGCTGGGTGTTGCCACCTATCCATGAATCAGTGGTCTAGATGTCAGGATCAAGCTCATTTCCGTAGGCCCGCGGGTTCCCTTCTTACGTAACCCGGCAGTAAGGAAAAGTCGGGACAGAGGCCCACCGCACTCTACGAGCATGGTATCGTACCGTAAATTTAGTCTTCTCGTAGTGCCATGGTCCCGATCCACGATGTTGGCGCCCTCCGAGGCGGAGTGATCAGGGACGGTGCGTTGCCAAGAGATGCCCTCGATTTTGTTGGGGGGACACCGGTTACTCGAGCACGGCGGAGCATTCCCGGGAATCATGCTCGTGCCGCTTCAATGCACATGGCCACGAAACAGATTTATGTGTGGCATTGGCTCTGCTTCTTCCACACCAGGTGTTCATGTCGCTTCCATAGCCCTGCCGGTATTATATGATACCAATAATTTTGCCATGAAGGTGCGGATGACAAGTTGTGTATATCCACTAGGAAAGCTGCACTTGCTGTCCTCTAGTAGTGAGAAAGGAAGGGATTAGGGCTGTAATAGGCTGTTTCACTCTAGGGTACCCTACGGTACTCGTTCAATCGTGGTGAAGATACTGATCCAGACTGTCGTAAATATCAATATCACGCACAATTTGTCTCGAGTCGTTATCTACAAATCACACTCCTCCCGACGTGTCGTCGTCACTCAAAGAAGAAGAAGAAGAAAAAAAAAAGACTCCCCTGTTCCCAAATGAGCTGAAGAGGCTTCAGCCCGGGTGCTCGAGTCCTCGAAACAAGCGCGGCCGCCGCTCAATGCCTATCGCAATCATTGGCGCCCCAGCCCATAGTATACAAGTAGTACGAGTACAGTAAGAGGGAGCCCGTACCCTACCTTAAAGCCCCGGCCATCCCTCCTCCTCCTAGAGCTCTCGAAGCTTCCATCACGGCCCTTCACCCTAGCATACATATGTTTGGAGAGCACGGTAGGCCATCTTGCCAGATCATACCTACCTAGAGTTACCTCGCGCTACGCCACGTTCAGCCCAATGGCTTTTCTAACCTCCCCGACCTCCTTCCGAAGTAATGAACTTCTCTCCTCACCTCACCACCTCATGGCATATTCTACCTCCTTTTCGAACGGTTCGATACCGCTCGATTTCTCGACAATGGGCAAGGGCCAAGCACCCCATTCATCGCATCCAGCACTAGGGCATCTCATATTACTCGTCTTCGAAGCTGTGCTCGAGGTCGTTTGCGTGGCTCTCCCGGGTTACATTATCGCGCGATATGGTATGTTCGACGCGGAGATGCAAAAGTTTGTTGCGAACCTTAACGTTTCGTTGTTCACGCCCTGTCTGAGTAAGTCTGGCCTTTCCGCCAAATACCCTATCTAGTGATCTATGTGAGGGCTTGACTAATACGGGACCACGGGACCAGTTTTCACGAAGCTAGCCAGTCAACTCACTCTGGCGAAAATCGCTGAACTGGCTGTTATTCCTGTCATTTTCGTGGCCATGACTCTGATATCCTACTGCTGCGCCCTTTTGGTCTCCAAGATTTTTGGGTTCAAGAAGAGGGCGAGAAATTTCGTTATCGCCATGGTATGTTTGTTTGCACATCCTACGTGGAGCTGGTTGGTGGCCTAGTCCACTTCGGTTCTAGCGCAGCTGACCCTCATCTTCAGGGTGTTTTCGGGAACTCTAACTCGCTTCCTATTTCCCTCGTTATTTCGCTATCCATGACAGTTTCTGGTTTGCACTGGGACAAAATTCCAGGCGACAACAACGAGGAAGTTGCTGCCCGTGGTATCCTGTACTTGCTCATCTTCCAACAGCTGGGTCAACTCGTTCGCTGGTCGTGGGGCTACCATGTTTTGCTCGCTCCTCCTCCCGTGGACCAACCCAACGGAAACGGCCAAGCGGTGAGATATCGTGATGATCCTTCGGGCGAGGACGATGGCGATATTGAGGCTCGGGGCCCTAGGGTGGATCCCTTCATTTCGCCCCAGTTTGAGAACAGTTACGTTGGCCTTCACAAGCAAACCTCCGAAGATGACGCCCTTATGGCCTTTGACGAAAGTCGTCGTCATGTAAAAATAGCTAACGGTGCTGGAGGCTCTGGTAGCTTGACCCCCGGGTCTGCCTACGTCAGCACTGCTGTCTCCGCCCAATCTACAAGACCCTCATCTCCCAGTGGCAGTGCAACCCCCGTACCTCCGGTTCAGGGCAATTCTGGGACATATCTCGCTCGCTCTCCTGATGCCACTGGGCCACATTCCCGTGTTACGATCCCACGTTGGCTCTCGCCCAGGGGGTCTTCCGTCTTTGCGCAAGTCTATAAAGGTGTCAAGACTGGAATTAACACATTCTTTAGGGCACTGTGGTCGTTCATGAACCCCCCATTGTGGGCTATGTTTGTGGCCGTGGTTATTGCATCGATACCTCAGCTTCAGAGGGCCTTTTTCACCCCCGGAACCTTTATCCAGAACTCGGTGACTCGTGCCGTCAGCCAAACGGGTAACGTAGCGGTTCCCTTGATTCTGGTTGTTCTTGGTGCCAATCTCGCGGGGAATACCCATCCTAAGGTAAATTCTTCTGACAAGCGACACGAAACTAAGATATTGGTTGCGGCGTTGATCTCCAGAATGGTGTTGCCATTCATCTTTGTGGCTCCTCTGCTGGCTGTTGCGGCCAAATTCCTCAATGTTTCCATCCTGGATGACCCGATCTTTGTCATTGTGTGCTTCTTATTGGCGGGTGCGCCCAGTGCCCTACAGCTTGCCCAGATTTGTCAACTCAATGGAGTTTACGAATCAGTGATGGCTAAGATCCTGTTCTGGAGCTATGTGGTTGTCATTTTGCCAAGTACTTTGATACAGGTCATTACCGCTATCGAAGTAGTTGAATGGGCTATGTAAACTTTCCTTCGGACTGCAGGAGGGGCGTTTAGGGTGCTATCATTCTCCCTGCGGTACGTTTAAAAAAAGTGGGAGTGAATAAAAGAAGCGGTTTAGTTCCATCATAAGCTTTATTGCATCCATCCATCTCTATTATTCTCTTTACTTTTTTTTCTTTTCTTTTCACCCTTTCCGCTTCGCCGTGTTATCACAAACCATCTGAGCTATAGCTGTCGGGATTTCGGATTGCGTTGGGGTTCGCCCAATCTGGGTCTTTTTGTATTTCTTACATTCTGGGTTGAACTATATACATGGTTTGGGCGGGAGCTTTTGCTTTTATGTCTAGTTTTTTATTTCTCTTTTTCTCATTTGTAGAAAATCCGGATTTCCATATCTCGGGGGTAAGCATGTGGGGTGGCTGTGGGCTAGATTGTACATTGACAGACATCGATAATCAGGGGCATTCAGCCCCGGGGTTGAAAAATGGTTTTTTGCAAGTGTTTCGAGCTGAAGAGCTTTGGTGTGTGTAAGGCTGCAAGCACACAAATGAGGCAGACCCGCTCGAAAATTGGCACCTGAAAAACTCTTTTTCGACCTGGGGGCTAAATACCTCCAATATATCGCAGACACCATTCGGGTGCTGCGCTGTACAGTACTTGTACAGTACTGCATTGAATTGTTGATTCTAAATTTCTAAAACTTGGCAGACAAAATGGTTACCTATACGAGCGTCGCACCGGTATACGATTGTGACATGAGAAGTGATCGGAATTACGAGCTGCAAGATCCATCGGCAGGCGTCCCACAATTTGTTAGATCTGTTCTACGGCACTCTGGTTGGTGATAAAATAGACTGTTGAACTTCCTAAGTTAAGCAAAAAGTCTTTTTTTGGGATGGTACATTTTCACTAAGCATGGTAATGATAGTGAATTGGATATAATGTGAAATTGAAATTATGGACTTTTATAAAGGCTTTGATCGAGAAGAGATCGAAGGAAGGGAGTATTTTACGACCGACCGGCGTTTGTTTATATGTAAAATCGGAGGAAAATGTTTTTATTTTTATTTTTTATTTTTATTTTTAATATCTAGTATGATATACAGGTTGATCTCCATGAGTTCCTGAGGGACTTGCCAGGGATTGTATTCAGTTATGGTGGAATACTTTCTGCTAGCTTCCTGAAAAACTATATTATTAATGATATTTTATATTTTAAGAAGTTATATACAATTAATTAAATCCACCAGTCTATTGATTTTCACTACTAACGATATGGAGGCTCCTCGGGTTCTTGCCCAGAAATGGCTACAAACTATTAAGGAAATTCCCGGTATCATAGTTCAGATGCCTCTCGTTACTACCGGTATCAGATCTGAACACTTATTTTTGACAAGAATCACACAATCCAGCCTTTCTCAACTCAATCCGGCAATTTGGGTAGTCTCTGTGGAGTACGAGTAGATCCCAGGACCTCACATTATTGCCCTTTAGCTCAAGGCAGTAATGACAGCCTACCAGACTGGAGAAGGCTGCATACCGGTAGACTAATCGAGTAAGGTAACCTGTTTGGGGAATTATGTAAGAAAATATCAATCAGTTACTGAACAGCCAACCCTATCTGCTAGATTTTCTGAGAATTTCCGGGGTTGGCAAGTACCACGCCTCTCTCAACTTGGCTAAGCTGTCTCGTGGGATGGTGTTTAACTGGTCGCCCTCCGGGAAGTGCCCGTCCATTCACCACCCCACCAAGACCTTTTTCAGGGATTTTTACATCGTGCAAGATCTATTCCGTGCCACCACCACCGCCAGTCGGACGGATTGCACGATTCAGTTCGTCGATTCAGTTGTCGATTCGGTTGGTGGCTTGCCCCATGCTCGAATCAGGATTCTCTGTGAGGTCAGCGGGGGGAGGGGGGAAACGAGGAAGCTCCTGCATCTTAAGTTATCGCGAGTGTAGAAACTCTCGTCTCGGTGTCTTAACAAGTGCGGTCACTGGCAGAATTGATAAATAAATTTAAATAGAGTAAGTACTGTACCGTAAGAAATCTACCGCTTGAGGTGATGCTTTGTCCCTAAAGGCCATTCCAGCCTTCAAGAACTAACACTTCTCCAACCTAGACACGATTCCATCATGATGATCTGAGGGATGTCCGAGGCGAAGGGCAATAGCAATATTACCTCTGGTTCAAGCTTAATACCCCGCCCCCAGGGTCTTTGATTTTCGCTCTAAACTCGTGGTGCTAGGCTTTAGCAAGCCAGACTATTTACCTCCTCGGGCCTCGTTCTTCTTTTTCTCTAGTTCTATCTTTCTTCTTCTTGCCGTCACTTTCGCCCCACCTTCAGGGTCCATCAGGAGCATTATTGGGGAAAATCGCCGTGTACGGGATAATAGCTGTATCTCGGGTACGGCGATACGTCCCGTGACTAGAATCGATCCTAACACTATAGACTAACCTCAAGTGCGCCTGAAACTCCATCGCCGGAAACTGCCGATAAGGGTATTTCCGAACCCCCCCCTTCCCAGCGCATTGTCTAGGCTGACAACCACCGCAACAGTCTCCATCCTCAAAGACGAGAGCCCACCCGCCAACATCCCTTCCTCCTCAGAAGACATCACGGAGAGCCGCAAGAGCAGCTGTCCCACGATCTTGCGCCCCGAAATCAGCAACAAACGTCTCGTCGGCCGCCCGCCCACTATGTCTGATTCGAACCCCCCGCATTCTACGGATCCCCAAGATAGTCTACTTCAAAAGTCACACCTATCCGACGAGAATATGGGCAGTCAAGAAAACCCCGGCAGTCGGCATCACGCACCCAGCCGTGAACAACACATGACTTCAACCGGGAGTGTATCCAGCCGTGAACAACGTGCCAGCCTGGCCGAGCAGGTGAAGGCGTGGCTTCGCAGCGAGAAACAGCGACAGAAAGACCGCCGCGAGGGTAAGAGAGCTCTCCACCGAGCGTTACACGGGCACTGCCCACCAGGTGAATTAGTGGACAGTGGTGACACTCCTGCCCCCCCAGACCCAGACTCCAGTGGCGATGAAGAGACACAGAATTCATTGAACCAGTTGGAAGCTATTCTTGCAGGGGTCCAGGAATCCTCACCCGCTGACCCTAGCCGCCACCAGAGTGCCTCAAGTAGGAGAGGCTCCTGGGGAAGGTCTCGAGCGAGATCGCTGATGGTTAATGCATCGGACACAGACTATGCTTCTGAGGGAGAACCTGTGGTTCGCTCTTGTGAGGTGCATCTAGAGACTGCTGAAGAAGTCGGAATTGACGAGTTCAGGCGTCAAGTTTTGACATTGGCACATACACTTAAGTGTAAGGGCTGGAGGAGAGTGCCATTGGATAGGTTCAGGGACATATCTATTGAGAGGATTAGTGGAGCCTTGACTAATACCGTGAGTTTATCCTTCGTTGACTATCCACTTGTAGGTTTTTTCCCTAGGCAAGGAACAGAAGCCTCACTCCGGTGATATGCGTGTAGTGTGCGTGTTTCCTTCAGTGAAAGCTCCTGTAGTACGAAACCCAGTACATACTCACTTGCTCGCTCGATACGTGGTCCACTGTAATTGCTTTGCCCAAAATCATGTTGTACCATGCCCCCGAGCAATGGCGGGAGATGGAGGCGTACAAGTTGATAATAATAATGCATCTGAAATATGAGATGTCCTGGGAAGAAACTTGCAAGGCTCTTGGATTTTTTACTGATCGGGGGTCCTCACTGGCGTCAAGGTTTACATGGTCTCCCCCCCGCAAGATATTTCTGCCTCTTCTAATCCTACGACTGCCCTTGCCAATGATTCTCAAGCTAGTGCAACGCCTACTCGCTCAACAAAGCCCCCAGCGTACGTGTTTTCTGCAGAATTCCTTTCCACCTCAAAAATCCTCATTTTGGATCATAATTGCGAGACCTCCTAACATAACGCTCCCAGAAAATTGCTTCTCCGTATTTACGGACCCCAAGTCTCTCATCTTATCGATCGTGAGACCGAATTGAGCATTCTTCGCCGCTTAGCTCGCAGGACGATCGGTCCTCCTCTTTTGGGTACATTCGAAAATGGGAGATTCGAGGAATTCTTTAATGCGACAACTCTTACAAAAGATGATATCAAAGTCCCGGGAACCTCCAGGCATATCGCAATGAGGCTGAAGGAATTGCATAAGGGTATCGAACTTGAAGATAGGGAGAGGAAGATGGGGCCTGCCAGTTGGTGCAATTGGTACAAGTGGGCTCCTAGGGCAAAGCAGATCATGATATACCTAGATACTGCCGAGAATTTGGGCAAGAGGGGCTATATATGTGGATGTCCATGGGAAAAGTTTGAGGCAGCCGTTGAGAAGTATAAGGAATGGCTATATGACAGGTACAATGGTGAAGAAAACGTGAAGAAGCAAATGGTCTTTGCACACAACGACGTACGTGGATATTTCTTCAACCTCCCTAGTTCTAAAGCTAAGGGTGACGGTCTTAGACTCAATACGGGAATATCCTGAGATTGCAGCCTAGTGGGGAGAGCCCGCCTCCGACTCCGAGCAACGAGCATCGGCAGCTCGTCGTTATCGACTTCGAATATGCTAGTGCAAATACTCCCGGATTTGAGTTTGCGAACCACTTTGTACTTGACGCCTCTCTACCCTTTCAAAATGACTTAGTGTTTCTGATTTTTGAACAAGTGCGAATGGATGAGCAACTATCACGACCCTGTCTCCCCCCACTTTATGCACCACACCAGGTTCCCGACCTTCCAGGAGCGGCGCAACTTCCTCCAAGCCTACGTAGAACACAGCCTCCCCTCCCCATTTATCGCCAAGAGCGTTTCGATGCCCGGGACAAGCTCCGAGCCCTCAACCCCGCCCACCTTACACCCCCCCGCCGCATCCTCCTCCTCGGCGCCCTCCTCCATGCTCGACACCCGCATTCCCGGTGCCAGCGACGAGGAAGTCGACAGACTGGAGGGCGAAGCGAAAGCCTGGCGTGCCGCGAGCCATGCAATGTGGTGTGTCTGGGGCATTGTGCAAGCCAAGAATCCTGGATCAGGAACCAAAGCTGCGGTCGATGGACAGCAGGGCGGCGCCGATGGATCCGTGCCTGGAGGGGCCAAGGCGGCCGCAGGCGATTTGGGTGGTGTGAAGCCCGAGAGTGAGGAAGATGAGAGCGAGTTTGATTACCTGGGCTACGCTCAGCAGCGGGCATTGCTGTTTTGGGGTGATATGCTTGCCCTAGAGATTATGAAGCCGGGGGAGGTTGGCGATGAGGTTGTGGAGAAGGCGAAGATTATTGCTTTGTGATGACTTGCCATATTGTGATAGCTGCTCGCTTTGTAGATGCTGCAATTTTACTGGCATCTCGTGACTTTTTATTTTTTATTTTTTATTTTTTTCTCAAACCAATAGTCTATGTTACATTACGAGATACGAGAGGATTCTATCGGAGAAATAGGTGTTCTAAATCCCCCTCCTCTTTTGCTTTTCCTTTATATATATATATATAATATTATATATATCATACCTTGCTTATCGTCTCCCCTCTCTATCTTTACGGCAGTATTCATGTGAGAGGATGGAACGGCTAAAGGTGGTAACGAAAGCGATAGCAGTGTTCAACCTACGTAAAGTACAAATGGAATCATCGCTTCCATGCCCGAAGAGGTCGGCCAGTTGGGATGTCCGCTCACCCAGTAAAAAAAAAAAAACCGAAATATACCCCCCCACTTGTCCTCACATTTGCGGAAAGCGCTATATACGACCATGAACTGGGGGGGAATCTGGCTGGGCGGAGTTATGATACGGTTTTGTGTGAGTATGCAATGCGATCGAGTGATTATTTGTGAAAAAAGGCTTTGGGGGGGGGGTCGTATCTTAGTATATAACGGTGGGTACCCCTGCAAATGACGCAAAAACACTCTTACATAATCAATGCTTAGTCAGGACCCAACACAAAAAAAAAAATGAAAATTAAAAATTAAAAACCAAAGTATATAAAAAAAAAACCTAACACTTCTGTAAAAAAAAACTATTACAATGTCATAATCAGTACCAAGTCATAAAACAACCCACAAAACCAGCACACACAAACATTAAAATTTAATAAAGTAAAATGAATAAAAGCTAAATAAATATTATGAATGTGCTTAATACATGAAATAAAATAAAACAAAAAGTCAATTAAGAGGAATAGTAATATAGTAGGTAAGCTGAAAGTTAATTAGTTAAAGAAATACAGTAAAAATAAAGGATATAGGCTGGGCGAAGATGATCTGTATAGACTCAGAGTTGCTGAGGCCAACCAAGATTTGTTTCTGTAGACAGAGATTGTCTAGGAAGGATTGAAATGTACTTATTTCGTTTATAACTACTAAGAGTAAGATGAGGTAGGTAAAGTAGAATAGAATTGTAGGAACAATATTATATTGTTAAGGTCTCTTCTCTGTTACTTGATGATGTCTAAAAACTCAGGAGGCACTTCAATATTTATATTGTATGTCTGAGTGTTCATAGACTACATTTATCTATTACATAAACTATGTACTTCTCCAGTTATAACTCGTAACGTCAGGTATTCTTTAAAGGTGCAAACACCTAGAGATTCTAAAAACCACAACACTCTCTTCAGTATTTACTATTCTGCTAATTAGGAACTATACTATTCTCAATAGTAATTATTCGATCTTCAGAGTCTTTAGACTTGTAGTATAGTTCTCAAGTTGAACTGAGTTGGTTCCAATTACCTCCCTTATCGATAAAATGATCAGCTTCATTTGGGGGTTGTATCTGAAAAGGTAGTTATAAATTCAACCTTCCTCTATAGCTGACTTTAAACTTCCATAACTCTAGATCCAACTAACAAATATCTTCTGGATGACTTCCTATTAATCTGTAGGTAGCCAATATACCTGATTGGCAGATAATCCCTTGGTTAGTAATCCTTGGTTACTTTAGGTAACAGGGTTTTAGTCACAATTTTAGTATTGGGAATTATTCCTGCAACTATAATGTATTCCTGGGCCAAGTTGTAACACTCCGTGAAGTCTATTGACTTCTGTGGTAATGTTTCTTAGAGTTCTAGACTCTTCTAGTTATCATAGAGAGGGTGTGAATATATTGGTTTCTTGTAGAAATTCGTTAACATTTGATACCATATCTTTGTACAAAAATGTCCTATTACTTATGGCTTATGTCAAAGATGTTACATCTTTGAAGCCTAGTAACTCCCCAAGTAGTTGATGGATATACTCTGTTTCCACTTTCCAGACTTAGCTGAAGGTCTACTTACATATATCCTGTAAACACGATTTGGTCAGACTGATGGTAGTGATGTATACAGTGTTATTCTGACATATTTAACTCCGTGGTATTATAGTCACAGGATGAAACTAGGATAGATATGTATGATGACGTACAAGACCTGTAAGCGGGCCGAGGAGGGTGTTGGAAACCAGAGATTCCAATTCCAAGTGGGGTTACCCTACTCAGGATGGTTCCTAGATATCAAATATCGGTACTTCTATCAATATACAATTGTTTCAACTTGAATGTTTAAAGAATTTTAATTACAAGAGATGTATTTATGTAGTACCTTTTAGCATATAGTAATGTTTATACTAAATACATTATTGAATTATAGAATATTATTTATATTGTAGTAGAGATATATTTTACTATCAAAGAAATCTCCTATTATCGAAAAGAATATTAAGAATTTTTATATTCTTAAATAGCTTAAAAATTAGGTACAAACATGTTTCAAATATGACCATCTTATAGTTAATATCTCTGAAAATGATCTGAAAATTACCTCATATAATTACTAACAAGCTATTATATAATACCAGAGATATTTCCTACTTTTTAATAGTACAACTATTATAACAGGTAGAAGTTAAAGTAAAAAGTCTTTTAGGCTTTGTATCGATCAATTGTTAGAGCTGTTTAGAAGCCAAATAATAAGTTATAATACCTTGATTTCAATTAAAGTAATATATAATAAATAGATGAAAGTACTATATCGTAATTTTATATAAGTAATTAAATTAAACAATCTATTAATAAATAAGAAAATAAGTTATTCTAAATATTAGTTGTATTGTAAGTATTTAGAAACTAAACTCTTAATATATTTAAAGTACATTAGGTAATTGTTAGCAAGATACTAAGAGCTATAAATGCCAAGCACTGACATGATATTAAACTTACCAGTTTAAAAATATGATAACATCAAAAAAATATATTTTCTA